TATAGCAGCTAGAGCTTATTGGGATCAAGGATGACCCCCTTTGCAGATGGTGCCTGGAAGATGACGAAACGTCATCACATGTCCTCACTGAGTGTCCAGCACTGACGCATCAGAGGAGGGCTGTCCTTGGCAACATAATTTTGAGGCCAGAGGACGTAAAAGAGATCCAGCTGAGGAAGCTGCTGAACTTCTCCAAGGCAGTCGGCATACCCAGCTGAATGTCGTAACATGTGGGCGCACAATGGGCCCGAATAAGGAGGCCCACGTGCAGGGAGTTCACCCGCCCACCAGTGCTTCGAAGAAGAAGAAGAAGATGGTATAGCAAAGCTTTATAATGACGGGGAGAAAAATTCCCGTTTTCTTGGGAATTTTTGGATCCTTGAAGGAAAAAGGCCGATTAGGATAGAGATTTTGATGATATCGCCAGGTTCTGGTGAATTCTGAGAAAAACAACGATAGTTGACGTTCCACAAGTCATTATTTTGTGATCTGAGCACAAAACACATATGACACAGATGGGTTGATAGATTCAACAGAACTAAGAAAAAAAGGAAACATCCATGACGGTTTAACATTAACATCTCTCATTCTAATTGACTTTCAGCTCAGCAACTCACGTTGAGAAATTGTGGGAAAATAACATGTTACAACATTGAACATTTGGACTTGTTATTGTTCAAAGTGAGGTGTGGTGATATTTCATTGGAATATTGTATATTGATTCATGCATTAAGAAGACCAAGAACACGTTGAACATAATTTCGATCATCAGTCAAAAAGAAATTCACATCTAATTCCTAATAAATATCAAATGTGTATCAACACCCTCAAAATTAATGATTGTTTGTAAATTAATAATTCCCAATTGTAAGTTCAACTGGATCTATGAACCCAGCAGAGTTTTTTGCCAAAAAAGGTAAAAGCAAGAATTTGCTCCAGAAAGATGAATCAGAAGTCGTCAATGTAACAATCCTCTACAAATCATTGTTCTCAAAAAGTGTGCACCAGAATTCACACCGATTCTCTGCGAGAGTCTTGTAGTCAGATGGTCGACGTTATGGCTTCAACCATCCTTAAAATCCTTCGAAGGAATCTATCTTACATTTTCCAATATCATAACTTCTGTATAATGAGAAAAATATCTCTAGACCACTGTTAGTCAGACTTCTTTAGGAACATAATGAGAGGGAAAGATTGAATATGGGCCTCCAATCCACGAGAATACCGATCGATCGATCTTTATATCGAAATGGCGGGTTTGAACGGAATTTCGAATAATTGCATTTTATTCATATCAAGTCTGCTATCTAGACTTCCATAATGGAATTGGAGCTGTAACATAGAATGAAAGAGAACAAGGAACAATAGGAACATGCCGTTTCATATTGCTCAATTTTGAGTCTAAAGAATGAGAATTTTTACTAAAGCGTGCCATGTATTAATTTCCAGTGGAAGTTATTCTCCAGAAATCTTGGATATCCTTCCATCTCTCGAATGACAGAGCTCAATACTGGATGCATATAGATTCAACTGAACTAGAATGAAACTAACGACAAAGAACTAAGAACTGAAGAGGTTGATTGAGTTGAAACATCTATGAGGGTTCATACATTTACCTCTGTCACTAAAATTGAGGATAATAAATTACAAAGTTGGTGAACTCTCAGCTAAATAGCTCAGAATCAAGAAATTTTGAAGACACGACATGGAGAACATGGAAATTAGATTTGTTATTGTTCAAAGTCAGATTTGGTGATATCTTATTGGAATATTCAACATGGATTCATGGATTGTGGAGACCAAGAACACTTCTTGAGATGATTATTCGATCATCAATCAACAGATACATCACATATAATTCCCAACTCATATCAGATGTGTAAAACACAAAATAAATAAAATCAAAATCAAATAAATAGATGGTAATCAATAATTCCTAGTTGTTAGTTTAAGTGAATCCATAAAACCAGCATCAACGTTTTTTTGCCAAAGAAGGTATTTCCAAGATTGTTCATCCTCCAAAAGTTTCAGAGATATGACAGTACCTACCGTCTCTCCCTATCTTCCCTGGATAATGAAACGTAAAAGCAAAAATTTGCTCTATGGAGATGAATCAAACGTATTTGATGTGACAAGATCTGCAAGTCATTGTCCTCAAAAAGTTTGCACCAGAATTAACACCGATTCTCTGCGAGTTATTAACCACCTCTCTTCCTGAAAAAAGGCTTCTAACCATTCTCAGAAATTCTGCCTAGCGACTATATGCCTATAGCTCTGTTATCATTTATTCAGCTCAACAAGCATCTCAGAAGCTCAGTAATCATATAAAGGATCAACCTTAAGCCATAGGAGATCAAAAAGGAAACTTCACTCTCAAGCTCCTTCGAGGAATATATCTTACATGTTTGAACATCATATCTTCCTGTATAATTATGAAAATATATTTGAACCAGTGTTATTCAGATTTTTTCAGGAACATGATGAGATGGCAGAATTGAATATTGACCTCCATCTCTCGAGATTACCGATCGATCGATCCTTATATCAAAACCGCAAATTCGAACGAAATTCTGAATGATCGCATATTTCATTCATATCATGTCTGCTATCCAGACCTCCATAATGGAATTGGAGCTGTAACACAGAATGTAAGAGAACAGGAAACAATAGAAACATGGCGTTTTATATTGCTCAATTTAGAATCTGCGAATGGAAATTGGTTTATCATTGAATCGTGCCAAGTATTAATTCTCACTGGAAGTATTCTGCAGAAATCTTGCGGTTATGAATTCACCACCATTATTACCAGTCAACGAATTTGGCAAGCCCAGTCAGCACAACTGTTTGTCGTGAACGTAGGAAGGCGAAGCTTAAAACTTCTTTGTCGAAGGAAATATTCGGTATTCCCAAGATCGTGATCACCAAAAGTTTTTGAAAATACCATTACCAACTTTCCCTTCTTATCCTTCCTACAGAAGAATTGTATTATTATAAACTCAAGAAACACACTTGCATAGAGAGTCAAAGTGAAAAAAATTTAGAAAATGAAACAATAAAAATGTGTTGATGAATACACAACATCGATAATATCAGCAAATTCGTAATCAGTACATTCTTTGTCTTTTCCTATTTCATTTCCCTTTTTTTTTTCTTTTAGTTTGGCTATCTATAAAGACGTGTTTTTTCAGTTTTCCAAGCTACTATTTATATTCTGTTTTTTAGTTCCACTAACTACAAGAACTTTTTTATATTTTCCTTCAAGTTCCCAATTTTGACCAAAAAGAAAGCATCGTAATCTATCTCCCACCCCAAAAACCATCAGATACCAATTTTGAGGAGAGTCGGATCATATAATCACACAAATCGTTTGCCATATTGGATCCGGCATCTTCAATTTACCTATTTTCGCAGAATCATAATCTTTTACCCCAAGAACACCCGAATACCAATTCTGAATAGTATCTGATCATAATTACAAAACTAGTCTGCCATTTTGGAACCGCCATCTTGTTTATAGATATTACAAAAATATCATGATGCATTGCCACCAGAATTATGCACACCTACCAAATTTCAAACCAATCAGCCCGTTTAAAGTAGGTCAAAATCGAGGCCATAGGAGTCGGTTACATAGAAAACATCCATACATACAGATGAATCTGATAAAAGAGTGTTAAAAAAAGGAATAGCAAAAGTTTTCTCCAGAAAGATGGATCAGCAGTTTTTGTTGTAACTAGAACTGCAAGACATTGTTCTCAAAGAGTTTGCATTGGAATAAATAACAACGATTCTCTGCGAGTTATTCACCATCTCTATATCGAATGTTTCTCTTTTTCGCTGGAAAATAGGATCCAACTATTTCTAAAGAATGTGCCTAGCGACTATGTCTTTCAAACAAATCGCTCCATGTGGTTGTGAACGGAGTATATCGTCTGATCGTCAATCAGATTTTGGCAACATTGTTCCTACTTCATATCAAAGATCTGTTTACTGATGCCTCATTCACTGCTTTACAGATGACAGAATCCTCCATACTGCGTTTCCATCCATAATTTCCATTTCATCTCAAGAAACTAGAAAAGCTACTCAACGTCAACATTTCTAGAAAGCACAGATCCGACTCTTTTGAATACAATTCCTGCATATGTTTTCTCAAGGAAAGTTTTGGCAATTATCATTCCCAAGGAAATGTTGGACCAAAAAAATGTTTGGTCCAAATCGGATGAATTTCTGACATAAACTTCCCAAGATATCACGAATGAAGTATAGCCCCTGATGTACTTCAACGCCATGTAGCTCCTAAAGGAATCCTAATGGGATGGGGAAGAACTACGATGAACTTCTAATATAACTAATAGTATAACAGCGTGTCAGAGTTTTCTTGATCATGGAAAGGATAGAGGATTATGAAAATAATATGCTTTCAAATCAACAACGATATTGAGAAATCTAACGATTTAGATACAAGTCTACGCCACAGTCTAAAGACCTCAATTCCTCACTATACAGTATACCAGCAATCCTGACGTTAACACTCACGAACGGTATCAATCAAGGTGGATTCTACCCTGAATAACTCTATTCAGCTTATACTGATCACTGCCTACTGGAACTCTCCAAGTTTGACAACTATCAATCTTTGCACAAATTGCTTCTCCACTATAATGTTCCACCAGCTCCTATAGTGCCTTGAAAATACATGTTCGCTTTCATTCCATGAAACCATTTATCTTTCCTGGGATCTGGTTAGATTTCATCCGAGAGATGGAGATTGGAGAATTTTCAAAACATCGGCTATAATTGATTCCCGTTCTTCATGAGTTGTTCAACTCTCCTGCAAATACCGGACATCGAAACAAAATAAACAACCTCGAACTACATTCAACAATATTGAAAACGAAATATTCAAGAAACTATTGACTGAACAATCGACGATATCTAGGCTTGATACAAACTTACTTTTTTGCAGAAAAAAAAATGATTCGGTTTGTTTTCCTTACTTGTATGAATTGTGATGAAATTTGTTGTATGATCCCAAGGCTGGTAAAGCACCACACCCTATGCTGTAGGCGAAGAAGATTTGTGAAAACCCGTCCATCCACGGTCCTGGTGTCAGGAGAGCCTCCCATTGAGGTGTTACGTAATAGAGTAGACCCGTCGTAGCGCCATCTAGGGTGACAGCTCGCACCAACATGATCAGCAGGATCACATAGGGAAATAGAGCTGTGAACCATATCACCTGGAAAATGAGGAACGGAATAGTTCAAGTCTCGAGAATAACGCAAATTAGTAATATCAGATAATCAATATACGTTCTCTCATGTTGTCATATTTGTTCATCTTTCCAAATTCGAACAATAATATAAGAAACTAGATCCAGTAACTTTTTTGTTCCTGATCTGTCGTTGATCATCTGCTGAAGTCACTAGATCTAGTGACGTAACACTATGATACACATACATATCATAGCTCTCTGGTAGTCGGATGCGCCAAAGCGAATTCAATATAATAATAATGATTGGCGGAGTTTAGCTCATAGCTATTCTTCCATACAAAAAAAAAGCAAAAGAGTAAGGAATTGATGAGTCTATCGCTGTTCACCCAGGAAATGCATGTAATGTAATATTCGTAAACATCTTCGAGTTGAAGTAAATATCCAGTTACCTTGAAAAATCCACACCAGTGATTTTTATACAGTAAAATTGGGTTTTTATAACAAATCACAATAGCAACGTATGTATTCTAGTGGAAATTTTTTTCTCGTGGGTACCCACCAGCGAATGAAATAGAAAATGTTGTGCCACCTGATTTGGGCAGAAATCAACAATTAATATGCTAAGAATCCATTGATGCCCTAACTGCATCTCTTATATAGAATGTCATACCACTACCTGGGCCAGTGTACTGTACTGTAGTATTGATACGCTTCAACAGGAAGATCAAATTACTAAGGTAAACGGCATACTGACCTTCATCAGAAATCCACGGAGGTTCGAAAAGGAGAATTAGGAGAAGGAATAGTAGATATTATGTACACATGACGTGTGCAGCAGGGGCCGGAAAAAAAGCTCACTGGGGCCTACTTGCTAGGCGACCACCTCTACTGTCTCTACTACTGCTAGTACCTATATGACCTTAACCTATAATTGACAAAATTAAAATGTCATCACTTGTAGTATCCCGAAGTTAATATAAAATGCAAATATAATAGGTAGAAATCAGGAATCTATTATTGGTGCCAAAATTGCGACTCAAACTGAGTTTATTCATGAATCTGTAGCAAATCGAATGAACAAATAGATTCCACCGACTACCACACGAGGTCAAATTATTTTTCCGAGTCGAAGACGTGGAATAATTTTCGAAATATTCATGACCTCTAGTGGTATTACAAGTGAAAATATGTTTCACCAACCCAAATTTGCGGACAGAAACAAATTCCAATCTGGTGACGTTCTCAGTAATACCAACCTCGATCTGGTGAAGAAAGATTTCTGTAGATAATCAATGATGGTTTCGAGACAAAAAAGGTCTGTAGATCTTATGGTATCAGTAGATGATGAACAACGGTTCGTGGACATGGAAGTTAGTGGATCTATTGACTTTTTGTACCATAACGTATATTGATCATCTATATGAAATTATATGTCATTTTCAGCTTCTCATACTGCAGGTGTTCAACATATGCAGTACGAAACTATGCTTGATGTGGACCAAGAATGCAGTTAGTTATTCTCTGTTAGGTACAAGACCCATAAATCTTTTGATTTTTTCCATATCTGATCATCGTATCGATATAATATGGAGATCTATTTTGTAGTCGGAAAAAGTTGAACCTGCAAACAATTTGCAGCAATATGAATAAAGAGTTGGGACAAAAAGTTCGGTCGATTTTGTTCTTGAAGGTCGACACATCGAAATTATCTGAAAATACATTCATCTATTGTGTGAAAGCAAGACCAGGGACAATTTTTCACAAAAAAAACTATTGTTACGCGCTGATCTAGGTGTTTGCAGTATCTATGGTATTATAGTGCTGGAAGAAGTCTGCATCTTTTATGTTTTTATTGCAGTAACCTTGCCAGATTCGTTTCGTTGACGTACTTGATGGATCTTCTCTGAACCGACCTGATCAGCCTACATAAAGAAACATCCATAATAGATGGTCAAATTTGAGTTTCTGAGAATGTCAGATAATGTTGTGGAATTTGGTTTCTGGTACCAAAATTTCATCAGATCAACCAAAGTTCTCTAGATTTTCATATAAAACATCTTCAGATCATCAAATACCATACCCTGAATCTATGAAGGGTGTTCCTGAAATCGAGCAAGCTCCCGCGATTTTTTCAGGCAATCAAAAATGTATCAATTATCAAAAACATCATCTCCTATGTATTTACTTCCGGTAATGAATGATGCATCACAAAAAAGTTGTTTTGGTAATTTGTCAAAACATGAGCTCTCCTGTTATACTACATCTATTAATTATTATTGAACTTTCAGTAACATTGCAAAAGTCATTGATACTCCCGATTGTTTTGATCTCGCTAGAAACAAATGCTTGGGTTGAGCTATGAATCACCCATTAATGATTTACAGAAGTTGCCTGCAAACTTCAAAGCTCAATATCAATAATTTTCTGCCGACCAAAATGTAATCTCTTATTTCGGTTTTTTCGTCTCCTATCATCCATTTCAGGATACTGTCGAGCTATAATTCATTTTCTAGTTTGCGCCAGTTGAAATTGAATTGAATTATATTTTTTAAAAGTCGTCAACTTAGCTAGTATGATATTTTCTTGCGAAAACCAATTCATTTCAATTCATTTCGAATATTCTCAACTGTTACCCATTTGAATTTCACAAGATCTTCTTACAAAGTTTGTTATTACAACGTAACGTGATGACTTTTCTTCACAATGATGGATGATAGCCTCGTATATCGAACACGAATATAAGGATAAAGATTAAAGTTCTAACCGTTGAAAATTCAGAAGTTTGTGTAACTTCTTATAAACTCCTCCCCATCCACTCCTTATAAACATGTTAATCATTCCTGAATTATAGAGACAAGAGAACGAATTACAGATGAGACTTTATAAGTCATCTGTAGATATAACAGAGATTTGAAGACTCGAGATCAAATATTTTATATACAGTGTGTCAATAACTCCCGTATCTTTTGAGTCATACTGAATATATTTTCTGTTCCTATATGCTTCAATGGATTTTCAAAACAACTTTCTCCATTCTATTAAATTTCGACAAATATTCAATATAAGTACTTTATGAAGACGTTCACCGCAAAAAAAAATCACATCCTGTTACTCGTTAGTCTATTGCAATTGTGATGAATAGGGGTGGGCGATAATGATTTTGGAATATCGATTATCGATATTCATAATGTATCGATATTATCGATTTATCGATATTATCGATATTATCGATATTATCGATATTATCGATATTATCGATATTATCGATATTATCGATATTATCGATATTATCGATATTATCGATATTATCGATATTGTCGATAATTATCGATATTATCGATAATCATCGATATTATCGATGATATCGAAATAATCGATATAATTATCGATTATCTTGAAAATTATTGATTTTTCTGATTATCATTGATAATCTTTGGAATTATCGATTCAATGGAGATTCTAAAAATATTAGAATAATAGTGTTCCATTTGAAATGTAGGAGTTTGCCACCACAACTAATGAGGGTTGCCACGTTGCCAGATGTCAGATAGCTTCAGGCAAGTTGCTGTGCAGGAGTCCTATGTTGTTTGAACAAGGCTAATGTACAGGGTGGCGTTGTCTTATTATATTTTTATTCTTACCTCAATTCTTACCAACAGGTATCTGTTTTATACAGGGTGTTCCGTATAAAAAACAAAAATACCTATTTTTCTGATGCTCATTCATTTTGATAATCTTGATATTATCGATATTATCGATATTATCGATATTATCGATAAATCGATAATTTTTCTCCAAATTATTATCGATAATTATCGATAATTATCGATAATTATCGATATATCGATAATTTTTCCCACCCCTAGTGATGAATCATGTCAGTTGCATGGTATGTCTCGGCAGCACTTTTTTATTTAGATGACAACCTGTATATTCCTGCAGTCTATCTCATTTGCCCTGAAATTATCTTCCAAAAATCTATCACAAAGTGAGAACGACGCTCTGAAAATCCGTTTTTTCTAACAATTCCAGTGGTTTGATCATGCAATAGATTCTGTAGCAACATGACATGGTGATGACAACCTCTCCTATACGCTTTGATCGCCAGAAAACTTCTCAATCGAGTTCCTGCTTCGAAATTTTCTTGCTCGTCAAAACAATTTTTTTTATTACTTGATGATATAATTGTAGTTTGAGGACCACCCTGTATATAAGAATATCGATAGTCAATGAAACGTGCTTTCAGAAACTGAAAAATAATTGAAAATCGGTTGAGGACATCGAAAGTTATGATAATTCAAATTTGATCGAAAAAATGCGATTTTACATTTCATGTGTTGAGCAGTTTAGTTAGGATGCGTTACGAACCCTCCTTTCCATTTGAAAATATCTTTCATCGAAACGTCCACAATTGTCACTTATAAAGAGATATAACTCCAATTTTCGCCCCAATAAAGTCATCAAACCTCCATTGAAGCTGACAAATATTCCTTAAAATGATGCCTTCCTCCTGTCTCCGTAGAGGAAGTGGAATTGAAATAAATTCTCGAAAATATTGCATCATCACTCCATTCACGGGATTTCGTGGTTTGCACGAAATTATTTCATCATGTATGGTGTTGAAACATAACAAGAATATGTAAATCTATATGTTGATAACACATTTCAGAATGTAAACCGTGTTTCAATTTACGACGAGGCCCTTTCAGGACCCTTTCATCGTCATTTAATTAATTTCAAGTCCATAGATGAATACGTCATCAGATCCTTTGACATAACGTTAAACGAAAAATTATGAAAGCCTTCGTATATACATTGAAATAGCAAATTACAGAAAAGCAAACCACATTTAACATCGTCCTTTCAATTATACCACGCTTTTGAGTCTCTTTGTTCTTCAGAAGGTATATTTTGTCACGCTTTTTTTCGAATGATTAATATTTCATATTTGTTACATGTGTGGTGCGTTTCGTGAAACTTTGAGATAAAAATGCTTGGTGCTGATGTGAATAACCAGTAGTAAGTATTTTATATTTTTGTTAATTATCTATTTCCTTCATTTGTTCCAATGTGGTGACATGTAAATGATGATATAACTTCAGATGGACATCATTTTGACATCCAAAATGCCATCAATTTCTCCACATATTCTAGTAAAGTCAAAAAAAATTTGCCCAAACGGATCGGAGTCCCTGGGACAACATCTTTCGTGACACGGGACGTACTAGGAACGGTCTATGGATATCCCTTGGCTTCCAAGAAGGTCCTACCAGGAACGTCGCTTCAGTACGTCCTAGGGATATACCAGGTTCTACCTACATTATCCCAAAGACATTCCATGGGTATTACATCACAACAATAGCCAATCACCGGGGCATCCCTTGTGAGTTCCAAGGATTTTTATCATTGATATATAGGAAGTTCCTGGGACGAGCATAAATAATTCTCAGTGTACATATAGGCATATATATACGGTATTATAGAAACATAATAACACCCAACTAGGTATAGTGTATGAGTGTTAAATTTTGCTTCTTATCCTTGCTTCATGAATTTTGTCTGGTACAAAAGCAAGAGGAACTTTAATTGTGCAAGAAATTCAAATATGAACTTTGAAAATGTTATTGAGTTAAAGTCAAACTATGTCGTTATTATGGTGACTGGATTTTCCAACAGTGACATTTTGCCGGGGCCCTTAGAAGTTGAATGTTTGTCTGATTGGCTGATACTGGTCACTTACGTAGATATGATAGGTTCAAATTACATGGAAACAATGTTCAATTGAACATTTCATACGTTCCGAAATAATTTCTTCACGGCAGGGATATAATGAAGTGTTTCCGAGTCACCTTCATTACTAGACTTGATTTGAGAATTATTCAAGTACCTTCCTAGAACTATTGCTCGAAACCCGAATACTTCGTAGATCTGAGTAATTCATCAATTCCTGACTTGCGAAACTTTCTCCTGAAAGTGAACTGCGATGAACATCATTACAAACCCTAAGGACTTCAATATTTCTCAACCCTCTGATTATGATGAAATTCAGATGAATTAGCTATCTGATGAAATTATGAATGTTCACCTGATCATAACTTTCATTGTTATCGAATATTTTCCAGTCAAATTCATTTAGTATCATAAGCAAGGGTAGTAGTATTTCTCTTCATGTGCCCATTTGGGGTGGATGGGTAGTTTTTCCGCATTCTTATTGTGAGTTCAAGGACATGTGCTTTTGAGGGTAATCTCGATGGCGTAGTTGAGGATTCTGACCAATTAGAATCCATTATTTAGCTGCACTTCCACCAAGGTTGTTAAGCTGTATAAATACTCAGGATGGGCTGGCCAATCTCTCTCTTGCTGCGTTCTCTTGTTGATGGGTAATTCCAGTATGAAGGATTGAATATTGATTTTTCATGTTCTAGTTCTCACAAAAAGGGATATCCTGTAATGTACGTATTTATCCCAATATCATAAAGAATCATTTCATTTCTGTTGGTTTGTCATTTACTTGTATAGAGAGTCCAGAAATTCTCCTGTACTTTGTTTGTATATTGTCACGAGTAGAACATACGGTATATTAGTAATTTCGAACCATGAGGGTTTTATAAACATAAAGTTAATCAAATCATCCGTTGACATTGAATTATAAAAACTGACCAAGGAACTCTCATGAGAAACGTGCATATCTAATAAAATGTTGAATATAAATATTGGATGTGAGGGTTCCGAAGTTAGTCTGGTCTGGGGCTACTCTTGACTTGACAAGAGCTCGTCGTAACGGTTACTATAATGTAAGTTGTTATTAGGTATTTATATTCATTGTTGTTTATTTATATTTATCATCACATATTCATACTGTTATCATTGAATATAGTCTCGTACTTTCAGTTACCCCTAAATTATTAGTGCCTATTTGAATATTACCTCTCGCAAACTATATCAAGCCAAGCATTACCCCTTATAAATCGATATGGATGGACTTAAACATCTATTATATCGTGATTATATCTATTATATCCTCCTGTACTCTGTTTGTATATTCCAGAAGATACGTGTTCTGTTTACATATCTCCTTTTTGTTTCCATTGTTTTCAATAATCCGTTTAGAAGTTATGTGAAAAAGATAAGAACGGAAGGATAATTCTTATCACCCGTTGTCCTATTACCCGTTTTCCCGTGAGAATAAAGCATTTTTCCGCGGAGAAAAGATGCCTATGTTCATCAAGAATAATGTCGGCTTCTAATGGAGTAATAATTTTACAAATCGGTTCAGTAGTTTCGGAGCCTATTCAATACAAACAAACAAACTACGAAACAAACAAACAAATCTCTCTCCTTTATAATTGTTCTAAAGTTGTTCTTATCCATCATTCGGTTGCCCCCTTACGAGCAACCCTCAGAAGTCTTCAAGAGACTTGTGCGAGCAAGGGATGACGATGGTCTTACCTCAAACGTCTGATCCCAAACACTTTCTTAGGCCATCAGAAAAATGTTTGGGGTCGTGGTGGGAATCGAACCTACCTACCAGCACTCCAACGTGGATAAAATATTGACGCTTCAACCACGCTACGCTGACCGACAATATAATATTAGTATAGATGTGATTGAACAATTAACTCACCTTCCCACTCTGATGCAATCCCTTCCTGATTATGGCGTAAATCCCTATCCATCCAATACAGAGAGCTATGAAAAGGTTCCATTGTAGACCTCCTATTTCGGTGATATCTTGTGTCATACCAAGAACTCGTCGCCTGAAAACCAATAATTTGGTGAAAAAATCGTACTTCCATCTATTGGAGGGCGATGAAGGGAATCCCTATTATGGTCGTGAATTATCGTGCGGACTAATAAGGAGCATAGGGATGGAGTAGGTATTGGAGCTGATATGGAACTTTTGAAGGCCTATGTTCCTGGGATCACTTCCCTAACTATAGAACCTATGACCTCCAAATTCAAACAAAAAATTGAATCTTTTCTCTCTATCCTGCTTAGGTACTCACCATCTTTCACGAACAAAATAGGGATTTTTCTTCGTGTGCTCCAAAAGATTTGTCTATTTTGAAAAACGAGTTCTCATATAGAGAATCTTCCAACATACCTCGAAGTTGACTAGAAATGTACTTACTCGAAAAATTCCTCCACGGGAGAAAGTCTAATAGAACTCGTAGAATTCGATAATACTGTCAAGTTTCTTTGGTAACAATTCCGCGTGTTCCACCAATTATCTATAAAAAATTACCTACATAGTTATTTGTACATCAGAGTTATTGAAAAATTGTCACAATTTTCAATTTCCCAATTTCAAATTTGTTGATTTGCTCTATATGAAAACAATTTCAATCAGAATTTGTTGATTAGAAAGTTCGTTAATTTTACAAGAATCAATAAGATGACGAAACATATTTTCCATCAAGTTGACTAGAAACGGATTATAATGGTACATTATATAACTAGGGAATAAAGTGGTATTCAAGATACCTAGACAAAAAGTTCATAGCCCTCCCGTTGGTCGGGCTATAATTTGTCGAGGGATTTAAAAACACTTTAGTCCCGAGGTATTTTACTATTTTTCAGGATAGGTCAAACGTTAAAGAAAAAATAACGAAAAAAGACTTAGATGCTACTAAAAGGTAGTTACTCTATTTCTAAAACCTCATCGAAGGTACTGATTGTTACCATATCAACGACCTCATTAACATATGGTGATACAATTCATGATTGTCATCGGCAACTGGAAATCTTGGTGTGTTATGACAAGTAAATAAGTTAAACATAAATAAATAAATAAACATTAGTCAAACACGTCACACCGATTGAAAGACGTTGATCGCGATGGAACAAATCGAAAGGCAGCTCAAGAAGCTGAAGGCCAATTATTACGAAGAAAATCTGGAGAACAAATATAAAAAACAGTTAACTGAGTTTATCAAATGGTGCAAAGAACGGAGCTCAGCAAAGAAAAAACAGAATGAAAGGTACTGCTAGCATATTTCTTGAAACATTTTGAAAATACGTTTCTTAATGTTGCTTTTATCAAGAAGAAATTTACTTCAAATCCCTAGGGATTCGCCTCAAGATTCTTTATTCAACTTTGTATCACAATTTGATATTCGTTCATTATTTGCCTGTTGAATTGCATTTTATTGAAAAACATGAAGTTGGCTGTGGCCCGAATACAATGACATTTCGATGCTTGATAGGCTTAGAAATCCAAAGATCATTACGTAGACGATATTATCAGAATATTTTCCATACCCTAATCGGTCTCAGAAGATTGCCAATGATCACATTGAGTTTAAAAAAATCATCAGAAAAAACTGAGATAGGAACTCAGTTTTTTTCATTTGGCTACTTGTGAAAAAACTATTTGTCTTTCATATTTGCCATGTATCCATAATATCATCCATTTGGATACATGAAACTGAAATTGTTGTAATAATAATTGATGTATCGTCCCAATACATCTGTTCATAAGTCTACATTAGTGTATTTTCAGTAGCATTTTGCTTATCAAATTGTGATACATAGTTGAATAGAGAATTTTAAGGCGAATAAGATGGGCTACAGAAATATAAAGGGTACCATTTGAAAAAGAAAAGTTGGGTCTACTTCCGATCAGGTGGTTGGATAAAATTGTCATTGGGTTCAAGGGAAGCGCCATCATCGATAAAATAACCCTTGTGACGTTCAAATTTCTATCTCTTAAAAAAATACAGGCTGTTCATGTCTCCTGTGTCACCCGGTATAGATGAGAGGGACGGATGTAACATCTAATCGATAGTGCATCATCGAACTCAACTCACATTATTCAAATCGACCTATACAGTCTGTCCAAGATAAGGTTGCACAGCATGGGGATCTCGGAAACGGTAGGAGATACGAAGTCGGTTAAATGGGAAAAAAGTTGCGCATTCGGAAGGTCATACCAACAGCTTTCGAAAATTTTCAAATTTTTTTTTAGTATTTCAGTTATATCGAAAAAAGTGAATTTTTGGAATCTCTATTTTATTTTTTTTCTCCGTTATTATTAGAGATACAAAAAAACTGAAAATACTTTTCCATAGCAACTTTCGATAACGTTTAACGTGGTGATATCGATCTTCCTATGCGACGTTTCGTATTCGAAGAACCATCATCAACTTTTGTTTTTTAAATACGGCCCTGATAATTCTTTCACAGATTCTGAAAGTTTTTTTCATTCTGAATTCAACCATGTATTATACAAGGTGGTTTGAATGTGTTTCGAACTATTTTTAGCCATCATCAATGTTTTTTTCGAAATTCCAAAGGAAAAATACCATCAGTTCCACTTATTTTGAAGGAAAATTAGCCAACAAACTAATACCTCATCAACTAGTTCCGATTGATAGACTTGTAGGAATAATTAGTTCGAAAAATTTAATTATGACAAGCTCCTTCGGATTAAAATATGAATACAATTCATAAACAATTCGAAGCGCTGCATTGAATAATTTAGTGGATTTTTTTTTTCAATTTTCTGTATTGAATAACTAGTCCATCAATGTTTGACACTGAATAATCAGAAATAAGTGAAACTGATGGCATTTTTCCTTTGGAATTTCGAAAAAAACATTGATGATGGCTAAAAATAAATCGAAACACATTCAAACCACCTTGTATGATACATGGTTGAATTCAGAATAAAAAAAGCTTTCAGAATCTTTGAAAGAATTATCAGGACCGTATTTGAAAAACAAAAGTTGGTGATGGTTCTACGAATACGAAACGTCGCATAGAAAAATCGGTATCACCACGTTAAACGTTATCAAAAGTTGCTATGGAAATGTATTTCCAGTTTTTCTGTATCTCTAATTATAATGGAAAAAAAAATAAAATAGATATTCCAAAATTTCACTTTTTTCGATATAATTGGAAAATTTAAAACAATTTTGAAAATTCTCGAAGGCTGTTGTTGGTATGAGCCTCCGAATGCGCAACTTTTTCCCCATTTAACCGACTTCGTATCTCCTACCGTTTCCGAGATCCCCATGCTGTGCAACCTTATCTTGGACAGACTGTATATTCTGAAAACAGTATACACAATAGATCAAAATTTATCGAGGGTGAATATCAAATTTCTGATATACAGGGTGATTCGAAAGTACTTTGACAAACTTCAGGATGTGATTCCTCACAATCAACTAATGAGAATTGTTCGAATAAGTATATGTCCGAAAACGCTTCGTTTATTAGTGATTTAAAACTCATAAAGAAACTTGAACAAAAGGTTCAACTGTCTCATTACGAAAGCTACTTATTCATTTCCTAAGCAAAACAAATTCAAATGTATGGATTATCAATAATCGACTTGAAATTTCCAAGTCCAAATATCTAGAAAACGTTTGCTTATACCGACTTTCAATATGTTGCTATTGTCACGAGTAGAACATACGGTATATCAGTTATTTCGAACCATGAGGGTTTTATAAACATAAAGTAAATCAAATCATCCGTTGACATTGAATTATAAAAACTGACCAAGGAACACTCATGAGAAACGTGCATATCCAATAAAATGTTGTATATAAATATTGGATGTGAGGGTTCCGAAGTTAGTCTGGTCTGGGGCTACTCTTGACTTGACAAGAGCTCGTCGTTATGGTCTTTATAATGTAAGTTGTTATTAGGTCTTTATATTCATTGTTGTTTATTCATATTTATAATCACTTCACCCATAATGTTTCATGCTATTATAATGAATATTGTTATGTTTGAATGTAGTCTCATACTTTCAGTTACCCCTAAACTATTAGTGCCTATTTGAATATTACCTCTCGCAAAATATTAAGTCAAGCAAACCCCTATGAATCGATATGGATGGATTATTAACCATCTATTCATATCGTGTAAGACAGTTTTCATTATTTTGTAATCAATATAAAAATGTGTTTTTATATGGGGCATCTGGCCAGGATTTGCGAACGGTCCAGCATGCTAAAACTGGACTGCCTCGGTTTGATCTCCAAATGGGGCGTTCCTGGTAGTGCACACAGATAGGCATGCTAAAACCATCTGTACCCATTCAAAAACTAAGTAAAATATATTGATTCATTTTCAACACCAGCCAACTCTTATGTTGTGACATGGTGGAGGCGCCTAAGCTTCTTTCTTTGAGTCTCATTCCTCATAATGGACTCATTCAAAGGCACTAGTAGAAAGGGTTATTTGAAAGTGATTAAGTATAGCAGCATGAATTATGGGTGATAACAAAGTAAGAAAGTCATTTAAATTATAAATCCTAATTGTCACAACATAAGAGTTGGCTGGTGTTGAAAATGAATCAATATATTTTACTTAGTTTTTGAATGGGTACAGATGGTTTTAGCATGCCTATCTGTGTGCACTACCAGGAACGCCCCATTTGGAGATCAAACCGAGGCAGTCCAGTTTTAGCATGCTGGACCGTTCGCAAATCCTGGCCAGATGCCCCATATAAAAACACATTTTTATATTGATTACAAAATAATGAAAACTGTCTTACACGATATGAATAGATGGTTAATAATCCATCCATATCGATTCATAGGGGTTTGCTTGACTTAATATTTTGCGAGAGGTAATATTCAAATAGGCACTAATAGTTTAGGGGTAACTGAAAGTATGAGACTACATTCAAACATAACAATATTCATTATAATAGCATGAAACATTATGGGTGAAGTGATTATAAATATGAATAAACAACAATGAATATAAAGACCTAATAACAACTTACATTATAAAGACCATAACGACGAGCTCTTGTCAAGTCAAGAGTAGCCCCAGACCAGACTAACTTCGGAACCCTCACATCCAATATTTATATACAACATTTTATTGGATATGCACGTTTCTCATGAGTGTTCCTTGGTCAGTTTTTATAATTCAATGTCAACGGATGATTTGATTTACTTTATGTTCATAAAACCCTCATGGTTCGAAATAACTGATATACCGTATGTTCTACTCGTGACACTATTTCACATAGATATGATGGGAAATTGATTTTTCTACTGGAAAACAAGCTAGAAGTAAGCTCAAAAAAGTTATACATCTTCAAAAAGGATATATGAACAACTCTAACACCTCTCAAGTTCGTTCAGTTAGGGTCATTACCTCGGAAGTTAATCGAGAACAAACCAAAATAAAAATAAAACACCCTGTATCGCGGAAACGAATATACTTATTACTTATTTGGCCAATTCATATCAGAATACTAGGAGAAATCACCTTCTGAAGTTTGTCGAAGTACTTTTGAATCACCCTGTAGATTGTATCACCACAAAAAAACATGGTTAACTTACCACAGTCAGACCAAGGCAGCGAATACGAAAAACTGCTATAAATATAATACAACGTCCATGCCACTATCACACAATAATAAACGTCTAACAAAAACACCAGGGTCATCGTGGCAAATCCTACTCCCTTCAGGATAGGACACAGCTGACCCACGAACGTCATTCCTCCTGATCCCAAGTACTGGCCAATGGCGACTTCTTGGAAAAACAAAGGAATGCCGCAAACGAACATGGCAACGTGATAGGTGATGAGGAAAGTACCTGAAAAATGAGATTATTGAAACAATCAACTTGAAGAGTATATAAAGGAGGAAGGAAAGCTCAAAGTCATCTCCACAACTTTGATATGAAGTGTTTATTCAACGGGACATGTTTCGAACTTATAAAAGTCCATCTTCAGCCGTATTTAAGAAATTACTAAAAGTAAAGAAATTTGAAAATATACATACAAAATGTTATAAAAAAATTTTTTTGACTTACATGGAGGTGAAACATTGTTTGTTTCAACAAAGATGTCGATGTCTCTCATCATAATGTCATTGATGAGAATAAATAGTTTAAAGGAATAAACGGGTTTCCATTCATTTAAACTATTTATTCTCATCAATGACATTATGATGAGAGACATCGACATCTTTGTTAAAACAAATAATGTTTCACCTCTATGTAAGTCAAAAAAATTTTTTTATAACATTTTGTATATTTTCACATGTCTTTACTTTTAGTAATTTCTTAAATACGGCTGAAGATGGACTTTTATAAGTTCGAAACATGTCCCGTTGAATAAACACTTCATATTAAAGTTGTGGAGATGACTTTGAGCTTTCCTTCCTCCTTTAAAAATTCCACTCCACTTTGAGCAAACATGGACTTCTACCAGAGATTGACGAGTATATGTTTCGCGAGTGAGTAGGCCCAATATCACTGGCATATTTCTTAGAGCGTATCATATAGGGAAAATTTTTAATGACGTTTTTCGGAATTCGACTTACGCGTTGAGTTTTGCGTTGAAAAATGTGAAAAATGAAGAGAGTGTACGAAGGAAAGTTGTTTCTATTCCAATTTCACATATGTGTCTCGAATTTCAACGTTCTAGAAAAACTTTTCATTTTCGATATTTTTTCAATTTCAAAATGAGTTGATTTTAGCCAACTTACCTATATCCCAAATCGTTCCGTTGAGTTGGTACAAGGCGTTAAAGTGCTCATCTTAGGTCCTGAATAGTTATCACTGAATTTGTAACGCGAGATTTCTTGTAAAGCCCGTGAGGACCAGCAACATATCAGATTGTTTACAATAAGAGTCCGACTAATTGAATTGATTTTCAAAAATGCGCAGATGCATCATATCAGAAATGATTTATTTGCAAATGAACCTCGAGACTTATCAAAAATTAACACGATACAAAAAATATCTCTGAAGGGAATATCTTTCTGGAAAAAAAGTTTTCAGTCTGACATCTGAAAAGTTATCACCAAATTTGTACGGAAACATGGTTGTTTGAAACACTTGCAGGTCACTGATAATGATCAAATACATCTCAAAACGTGACTTCACAGAACATGACATGCCAAAAATTATGATAATCGATCTCAGCCCACTCTTTTTATGAGCAAAATTTTTTTTTTCCAAAAAAACTTCAACGCCTTGTACCATCGCAACGAGACGATTTTGGATATAGGTATAAGTTGGCCTAAATCAACACAGACAACCTGTATCATATTCATATTCAGAAAGGAAATCACCACACTTTGAGAACATATTTTGATTTTCTCTTCAAAGAATTTGTTTTATCATATTTTGCGGAGTTTTTTTCAAATGAACACTATTCGAATGAATGTTATTCGAATGAATTTTTGGGGGATATTTCATAATCGCTGTGTAAGCGGATTATATATCTTGTTTTTTGGCTTCCTGGGTTGAGCCCCAACATCCTCCATATCTCACAGATATGACAGCAATCTATTGGAAAATATGGTGAAACCTCAGCCGGGGCACTTGATATCTCCATGGTATTCGATCGAGTCTGGCACCACGGACTCCTCGCCAAGCCTCCATCTTATGGCTTGCCTCCCCAGCTATGTTCTCTGCTAGCTAGTTTTCTCTCAAACAGGTCTCTCCATGTAGTGGTCGACGAAGTTTCATCTGACTCTCTTATCATAGATGCTGGTGTTCCGCAAGGATCCATTCTAGCACCAACACTATTTCTACTCGATATCAACGATTTGTTGGAAGCAACTTCATGTCCAGTACACAGCTTCGCGGATGATAGTACCCTTCATACCAATACCAGCCAGGCAAATCAGAAACAAACGAGGAAGAAATGTTGACAACATAAATATGGACTTGGCAGCAATTGTCAAATAGGGATCCAATAACTTGGTAGAATTCCGATTTCACTGTGCCCAGCATGAGCTTTTCTGGAGTAACCATACCTTTGGAGTCATCCATTTCGATGCTTGGTATTACTATCAGCAATAACCTTTCTTGGGAAAATCCCGTGAGATCAATTGCTAGAAGTGCATCCCAAAAACTTGGTTTTCTGTTCCGAGCCAGGACCTATTTCACTTCCAGTCAGCTGCTTATGATTTATAAGGCACAGATCCGACCTGTCCTGGAAGACTGTTTCCATATTTGGATTCTGTCCAAAAAAGGGCAATTCGTCTCGTGGGTGATGCATCGCTCACAAACTCACTCACTTCTCTGGAAAACCGTAGAAAAGATGGCGATCTGGCTCTCTTTTATAGATATTTCCATGGACGATGCTCTTCTGAAATATCGATGATTGTTCCTCCCTTGGCAGTCCCCGCGAGATTACCCCGTCGAGTTGAGGCTCCGCACCCCTTCGTGGTCACTTCGGAGACCTGCAGAACATCTATATCCAAAGACTCGTTCATCCAACGAATGGCAAGGCTCTGGAACACATTGCCAAGGGAGGTGTTTCCCGAGGCATATAACCTCCAGAAATTTAAGAAGAACACCAATTCCTACCTTATTTCCCTTGGTTCTCACGATGTTCTCTGAACATTACAGGATATCCCTCTTCGTGAGAACCAGAACATAAAAAAAAACCTAGGGGGGATGACGTGCCCCCCTTCAGGATCCCCCTTAGATACTCCAATGACTAAGACACTAGGGGAAATGGGTTGAATCTGATGCAATCAGTCAACTTTTGGATATCTAAACATCGAATAAAATTCCAAATTCGATCACATCATTACTTCAACGTTCTCATAACCTGATGGAGTTCCTATCTCTGTACCCACCTAACTCAATATTGATTTATCCTCCAAATCGGAAACACTAATACGAAAATACCCCATATACCGTCGACGAATTCAAATGAGCATTCGGGATACAGGGAGAATACAGATGATGGAAGTAATACCAAATCATAAATAATACCATATCGATGGAATGACTGGGGGATTGAATAAGCATGATTAGATAATATGGGTGATAAAAATGCATTCACAAAATTAATTCATTTCGTTTTCTGGTATTTTCTCTCACATGAATCAACAATAGTTATTTATCAAACAAGGGAAAAAAGTACTGGATTTCAGCTCCAGGTTGTGTTGTCTCAAAGCGTTGCGGAGGAAGACAAAAAATCGTGAGCTAAAATCTAACATTTTTCCCGTGTATAATGCACTATTTTTCTGTGTGACAGAAGAAAAGGCGAATCAATATTGAGAAGAAAGTACATTATATTGAAATTAGAAAATTATGGACGTGAAATTCGAAGTTTCTAACATGAATGACACACATGACACAGGCATCTATATCATTCTTTTGAAGTAATCAAATATCTGTCAGTCTGATTCTGTGATATGATTTTGAACAATCGCGAATTTAGTGGTTTAGTCATTAACGTAACCGCGAAGTCGAATGGATGATGAAAGAACTTGCAGTTCTTATATTTTTTGGAATTACAGCACAACAGAAGCTATCAACAGTGTATATAATACATGTAATATATATCCGGGAACAAAGAATTTTTTTTTCGTGGAAAGAAAGTAATTTATGAGAAGTGACATTTTATGACCTGTCAACAGAGATGAAATTTCAAACTTTTTCCCCGTCACGAAAAAAAATATCTTGTCCAAGTCAAATCAACTTGTTGATGTAACAACTAGAAGTTCAAAGGTCAAACTATCCAATAATATTTGTTGAAGTAATAGTATCTTTTGCTATTTTCACTATTTTGAGTAAACATAAACTGTTTATCTAATGGTCGTGTTGGAGACCACTTATGGTCGAATATTTATCGGTATAATGAATCACAATGTTTACTCCCTTGATACTTGGGGAAATATTTAGTTGGGTGAAACAATGCCGGTGAATAGAAAAAGAGAAGATGATTCGAGTAGTTATTCAAAGAAAAAAAAAGAAAAAAACAAAACACTAAGTCGGTCGACCACAAAGTTTAAGAGTAGTTATTAACTGGAAGGCAGAATAGGAAAACCGGCATCAGATTGCTTGTTATTTCCTCAATTCAATTTTTAATACGATTCCTATCATAGTTGCTTATATTCTCATGATTGGTGTTGGCATCTTATTAGTTGTCATGCGATTCAACTGGTGATTTAGATTCTTATAAACACAACCGTTAATTCTACTCACGCAGTAGTGGTAAGATTACGATATAGTTCAAATACGTGAACACACATAATCCAGTATTAAAGTACCTTGAAAAAGAATTCAATTGATAATCAGTGACACCTTGATTTGTGAAATGTCCGGAGAAAATATTAACCTATAGATAAGTATATAAAGAAATTGCAACTTCTCTCATCATTTTGGACATATCAGTAACGAATTCGCTCTCGTTTTCAACATAGAAGTGAAAAATTATTCTGGCAAATGATTTTTTCGAATTCCTTATGACTTGCATCTCAGTGCTCACAAGTCCTGATTACTCCTGAGACTATTGAGAAGTTGTACTTCGGAAATTGTTCATCTAATACTAATAATTCAGAGTACCACTGAGAAGAAAATTGCACGCCTCTTAATAAAATTGCCACTTGACCCCTCCTTTCCACTTCAGATTCTGAAGATAACATCTTCCTCTTCTTGAGGGTTGAACCGTTATTGCTGAAAATATTCATTTAGCGTTTTCACGATTTCTCGAGTATTATTTACTCAGGGGTGTAACTACTATACCGCGAAACCCCGCGATTGCGGGGGGCCTGTTCCTCAGAGATGGCCCTGGGGCCCTGGTTCCACCAACCAGAGCAAGGAATGAGCCAAATTGGTTGATACATGAATATTTCTAATGATGAATATGCCACAGGAATAATTTTCACATTTCTGCGAATAGTGCAGGCATCTTTTTTTAGTGTAGGTCCAGGGTGATGTGTGAAATCAACGATACAAGCCAATTATTCTAAATGGAGAACTTGATCAAAACTAGTGATACTTCAAGAAGAAAAAGGAAAATTACTAGTATAAGATTACGCCGAATATGATAGTAAATCCCGAGAATATTGATGGGGCAGCTGGTGGTTGCTCAAACCATTATTCTTGAGTAACTTTTCAATGTCATTTCACCTAAAAACATCAAAAAATGTCCAGTGCAATTCCATGCTCCTTCCTCCAAGGAGAAGGAAAAAATGTCCAGAAATTTGTTCAGTTGATATGGTAACGATACAAAATACGTGCTTCCAATTGGTCAAAAATGTTAGGTGTGAAATTTTCAAGATAATATAATTTATAATGATGACGTCACAGAAAATATGAGTAGGCCAACAAATGCGCATCTGAAAAAGATAATCGACGTTTTCGATGAATTTGTTTCAACTTTTACGTGCTCCCTGTGAATGAAAGTGTGTATAAACAGAAACCGTTTGAAATTCGAGAGACACTGCGATGTCCACTTTTCGTCAAAAACGGACGAAAATAATTCAATAGCCATGAATAGAATGGAAAACCTTTTCAGTCAACTTTCCTGCCCTATTTGCATTCTCGAAGGGATGACTATTACGTGAGGTTCAGATGGTGCAGGTTGGTATACGAGTTTAATGTTGGATACGTCTCCCTTGAGACAAAATCGCCCTTTTTCCATAAATTATTTTACACGACATTGTTCAGGGTTGGAACTTTCTCGTTGTACACACGGTATGTGGGAATGAAGAATGAAGGCTGATGTTTTTGAATATTATTGTCACATACATCATATCATTGTAGAAGGAATTCAAAATCATGTAGCCTGACTGAACATTTTATAGATGTTTAATCTATGGTGCATATCAATGAAAATGACAAAACGATAAACAAAAGGACAGATATCAATGATCTTGGTACCATATATATATTCCTTTCAAGGAAACAAAAAGATAATAAATCAAGTCGTCCTCCTTAAATGATCCATATTTTATAATCAATCAACAATAACATATTATTTATATCTCAGATTTAAATGTAAGTATTTATCCCACTCTGTATTCAACATCTCCAAATCAGTCAACCACCATCTATGACATTTTTTGTCAAATCATTTCATTTTACTTATACACATATGTTTACTATTTGCGCTAACTTTATATAGTAGGTATTTCATGTTTGTAGGTAGGTATAAGAATTTTCATTGATGTACATTTTTATACTAAAATTATTGTTTATTCGATGTTTTAGTGAGTCTTGATAAAGAAAATAAACATTTTCGATAGCTCGACAAAGAAACGAAGAAATCTAACTGATATTTGTCACAACTATTGCTTCCCACCAATATTCCTCCCAATATTATATAGCTATCTAAACTGATCTACTCTAGGACTGATTTTCAGAAGCTGTGGAATTGTTCAGGAAACATATACTTACTCATGAAAGAAAAGAGACTGAAAATTCCACACCACTAATTCATTAATTGTATTACGTTTCATTGAAACCTGACAGAATGCAAGCATAACTGATCAAAGTAAAAACACTCAATAGCTTGTCAAGGACAATTTGTATTGAAAAAGGTTTGGAGAAGAGGAATAAAGGTATATGGAAAAAATATCAAATTTTTGAATATCTTTGGACGTTTCGGGAACAGATTCGTTCCCGAAACGTCCAAAGATGAGTCAATATTTGATATTTCTTCAATACCATTATTTCTCTTCTCCAAACCTGTTTCAATACTTATTGTCACTGACAAGCTAGTGATTTTTTCTTTTAGGCTCTCTGATAGGAAAATTCTTTAAACGCAGTGACATTTTAGGGCAAATCATCTGATTTGACCTAACTACACGTATATTGAAATAGTATTCTAATTTCTATTTAATAGAGACGAAGAGAGAAAATCCCAAAAAAAATATGTTATGAAGAATAATTCTGCTGCTAGGAAGGTTATAAGTGAAAATTCAGGATGCCTAGAAACGGTCAAATTATGAGTGGTACGCCGTTTCATGTGTTCTGAGCTGAACTTTCAACTGACTGAGTTGTATATTGTGGATTTATAAACTGCTTCGATTCTCATCAGAAAAATGGAGTTGATCACTTTCCTTCTACCCTTATCTTGACCCACATCCCACATCGACTCACCTCCCCCGTTCTTGTAACACAAGTATGGAAATCGCCACACGTTCCCCAGTCCGACTGACAAGCTGATGCACGACATGAGGAAATCCAATTTGTGCCCCCATCCCCCCCTGTCTTCCGCCTGCCCGGGCCCTTCGGGGCTCCCTGCGGAGTCGCCCTTTGTTTTATCATCGGCCGCCTTCGATGCTATGAAGGGCCGTTTCTCCGGCATGCCGGGATGGGCCGTTGTTTCTTCCCAGAGGTACAGTTTGTTGGACATTTTGTCTGGAAAGAAGATTTGCAGGGTTAATTCAAGGCTTTGTTCGTGTTCCAGTGGCTACTCTATTGGGGCTATTGGGCTGCAATGCGTCCCTGGAGATTGACAGAAAAATAACCGAACTCATTTTTATTAAATTTTTCCTTTCTCACATCGGAAGTTTCATGCTGAACATCGATCTGCCAGAAAATTCGATGTGTCAGTTTTATTTTTCAAATTATTCGACGAGAACGAAAATTTGTAATTTTTGTTTCCATTTTTTCGAGCGAAAACCAAAAGACCTAATCGTTTCCAACTAGGAGATTCTTGAGGCACTTTTATACAAGAAATCTGAATCTGTCATCGAATCCTAACCTAATCCCATTCATTTATTTCATTTATTTCCATTTCAATTAAGAGTATACCAGAAACTATGCTAAATTTAGCTTTTGTTTCTGGACATCAAATTATTTTTTATGAGGATGATGAAGAGGAACGATCTGCTTTGAAAAAAGTTGAACATTTTGCCGAAGAAACAGTGCCTATCATTTTACTGACCTGCAATTCATGCAACATTCTCTTCATAATTCTCGTCTGACACCATAGAGGTGTGTGTTTTGTCTTGCTCAGAATCAAAAAGTTGTTTTTTCTTTCATTATGAGGACGTTATTTTGAAAATACGAATACGAGCACAACGGCCAGTCATACATAAACAGTTGAACATTAACCTCACAAATTCAGATCAATCGCTTTGCTCGGTCAAAATTCTCCGAGCATAAGGATCTTTGTCAGATCGCTCCGATTTAAATTGCCGAACGGATAAGATCTACTTCCCCTACATCTAGATGTCATAAACGAACGATTCAAATGATGTATCACACGATAATCGAATCTTTCCTATTGATCAAAATTGGCCAGTGCGGTCACCTGATCTCTATCTACTGGATTATTATTCATTGGGAACTATGAAAGATTTGATTTTCAAAAGCGTACTGATCGATATTGATGTGCTGAGAAGAACCATAATCACCACTTCCAAGACTAAGATAAGAAGACGGGACATCCCGCAAGCAATTCAAAATCTGAGTAAACGCGTAGAAATATGTTAAGACTTTGTTTTGTTTTGCGAAGAATGAACTTTTAACTCATAACGTCGTTCCTAATTCAAAACCATAGTTTGTAAGTAGGTGAGCTAGACGAAAATGTGAACGTTCCAGATCCAAATTCAAATAAACTGTCGAGTGTTGTAACTCTGGCATCAAGAAGGTCATCCTATATATTTTCCCAACCTGATGGATTCGAATTTAAACCTTAATTTACCGGATTAGCTTCAGAAGGTTGCTATCGAGAATCCATGTATTTTTGTATGAGACAAACAGGTCTACTTTCATTCCAAAATCTAATAATAATTTTGAAAAAATGTATAAATACGAATAAACTCTCAAGAATTGGTTGATTAATATCGTCTAGCAAAGGTATATACATATAGTATAGGTATTTTTAGTTCTGTACAGTCGGGGATCACATGTTTCAGATATCGATCTGGATTGGAATAAAGTTCATGGAGATATTTATATCTTGGTTTCGAGAATGGCAGTCATTGAATTGAACTTTATCATAGGTCAGTGACTGCTCAAGAATGGTTTGTAAAACAAGACACAACATCTTCGATTTCAATATTCTTCTTGTTCAAATGAACATTTTAACAAGAAGAAAAGGAGGATCAAATGAAAAGTGATAATTCTGTTCAATTACTCTCGTTTTTATCTACATATATAATACTGTTATTGTTGAAATATCATGAATATTATTGATAAAGATTTGATAGATGGACATAGGGATTTCCTATGTATATTATATTAATTATTGATATGTTCATCCATGGCGATTGTTATATGTGTTGTTTTGTTTTTCTTCAAAGTAATTTTTCACAAAAAAGTTAATCTCTCCATATTCTTCGAATTTCCACTGGTTCGCAAATGATTATGGGCCCCAGATATTGATAAGGTGTTTGAGTTCCTAACAAAAACTTAATAAAACAGAACATTTGCAAGAAGTAGTTGTGATAGTAGAGGGGCGATTGAAGGAAGGAGAAAAATATGGCACGATTCGTTTTGCCTAATCATATGCATAGGCGATTTCTATAGAAAGTCTATAGACACGGTGCAACAAATATACTGCATGTGCGGGCGACTGGCAACTACTTGTGCTAACTAAATTATTTCTTGAAAAGGAATATTCTCAGAATCGTGATTGGGTTCCCTCAATTCAGAATTTCTTTCTACGACCTGTATGATGAAAGATCAATTCATCATATTCAGTTCTCTCTTCATACTATAATTTTTTATATATTACTACCATCCTAACAAAAGTACTACTTTTCTTAATTGACTCGGCAATGACTTGATAGCAATCCATGACAAATGTGAAGACTTCCCAAACGATAAAATTTCCACAAAATTCTCAAACACACGACATGTTTCGCTAACACAGTATAGCTTCATCAGATGATATACTGGTACATTGAACTTCAACTACTAGCAAACATTTCACTATGAAGGTTCATCTGACCAGAAATAATAGTCACTAATTATCGGTTATGCACAAGTGCATAAAAATTTTCGATAATTTTGCAAGAAAGCGAGTTATTCGAAATTGCAAGTTTATTTCCATATTTTGGCGGAGGAGCCCGAGTCGGCTTCACAAAACATGAAATAACCGAATGTATCTTTCATAAGATAACACGATATCAAAATTATCTGATAATCTTCATGTACGAATAGAATTCATTGGAATTTTTCACGAATGAAGGAATTCTCGATAAATTGTGTTTTTACCAAAACGCGAATTTTTTTCGATTTTTCAAGTCAATCTGACATTTATTTGTATTGTTTACTGACATCTAGCGACTCAGTTTCAAATGTGTTCTCATGGCAACGGAATGTTCTCGCTGTGCAATCTTCTTTCTGCAGTGCAATTACCACTGTAATTTTACGATAATTGCATTGCCCCCATGAGATTTTCATATATAAGGAAAATATTCGCTGAAAGTCACTGAGAGGGCAGATGGCGAAACTAATGTATATTGTCATTATTTAGATTCTGTTCAAATTATATTCATATAGTCATAAACTAATAGATATAATAAATGTCAGATCTTCTGGGAGATTACAGAGATAAAAGGTACTAAAACTGATCAACACACATCGAAAATCATAACACAATTTTACCATATCGTATAGCCATAATTCCTTGATAACATCAATGTCATAAAACATCTGCCACTGATTGCATCGATAATTTCAAACAACTGAAAGTTACTTTCGCATATTGTAATTTTATTTTTATATCTGGCAAAAGCCCTCTGCTGCGTAAATTTAGAAATACGTCACTGAGATTACTAAAAAATAAAAAATCTCTGCCAAGAGTGCCAAGTGGAGTTGTACAGGTTTCATATGTTTCGATTTTCGGTTGTACAGTGCATCCCATTTTGGTTAAGACTGACAAATTTCAAATTTCATTCTAACATCTTGGAACACATAGCTGGGAATAGATCTGCATTATTCTGCAATAATTTCTCGTCGAATAAGACGAGAATGAAATCTAAAGATCGATTCTATCATTGTTTAGAACTGAATGAAGTGCATTTTGAAGATCTGATCGAATAAAATATCATTTCAACACAATACAATTCATTTCTTCGAACATGTTTTGTGCCTCCCTGTGTTGAGCTTGGCTCCTGAAAATTGGATGCGCAGTAGACCAGTCGGCGGAGTGGGGTCAACATCGGTTAGTACAGAACACTACGATTGTACTTCCCAATATAAGGGTGTAGTGGATCTCGTCGCACACTATCCTCTTTGTTGATCGTTTGCGCATCTCAGGAGCCAAGCTAGAATGGTTGAGCTATACCTCGAATGAAAGGTCCCATTTAGTATTTTCTACATGTACACGATTTTTTTCCAGTCAACTCAGGGTGGCACGAAAGATTTTCGGAGATATTAATTGTATTGTGTTGAAATGATATTTTATTCGATCAGATCTTCAAAATGCACTTCATTCTGCTTCAAACAATAGTACAATCGATTTAATAATTCCGTTCTTACATTTTGGAACGCATTTCTTGGAGTAGATCTGCATTATTCTACAATAATTCTTTGTGGAAGACGAGAATGGAATTTGAAAATCTATTGTACTATTGTTGAGAACTGAATGAAGTGCATTTTGAAGATCTGATCGAATGAAATATCATTTCAACACAATACAATTCTTTCCTCGGAAAATGTTTTGTGCCATGGAAGAAAATTCTTGCACAGGTGAAGACTACTGAATGAAATTTGAGGTACAGCTTGACAATTCTAGCTCAACCCCTGAGAATTGGATGCGCAGTAGACCAGTCGGCGGAGTGGGGTCAAGATCGGTTAGTACAGTACAGTACGATGTTATTTCCCAATAAGAGGGTGTAGTGGATCTTTGTAGCACACTTACCCTATCTGTTAATCGTATGCGCATCTCAGGGGCCAAGCTAGAATGGTCAAACTGTACTTCCTACAAAAGGGGTAGTGTCAGTCACATTTTCAAGCAGAGTTGTGTATCGCCTAAGGAAAGACTAGTGCCTTCTCTGAAATATTTTCAATTCTCCCTAACTTTTTAGTCTTTATGACAAATGGTGTTTTTCTAACTTTATTTCTCGAAATATTCGCATTGAAAGTTTTGATATTTACGCACCCTATACAGATAAGTGCACACGAAACGGCGAGTGCTGAATCATTCCAGATCGGAACTCAAAAATTGGTGGGTAGCAAGTATAACAAATTGCTCATTAATTAGCCAAATCATATTTCTTGAATCACTTTCCCGGTTTCACCTGAAACTACTCCAACTTTTGATTTTCAAATAGGACAACCTGTATTTTATTCCATAATCTGTTAGAGATCATTATGAGGAATTCAGCGATACTGTGTTTGCTAGGGTTATTTCAACCGATCACGAAGATATCCACGTTATAACTTTCTATTTGCTCAATGAGTGTGACAGAGACAGAAGTTTCGATACCCATTCAGCATATGGAAACTTGGATGATTTAGAAGTTACAACACTGTCCGTTTTGTTTTGCACTTCTCTGTATGTTGTGTGTGTTATGCCAGAGAACGTTTTCGAGATACCATTGCAATAATTCATGATAAAGTTTTCCTTGCTTTAAACCCGGAATCGATAACAGCGAAAAAATATTGTTTTTCCCTAACACGAAAACAATAATTTTTATTGAATCGAGAGTTGTTATTAACCACTGGAAAAACAAAATCACGATCACATCATTGACTTCATTGCATCCAATCAACTATTCAATTCGATATAATAACAAAAGAATATCGAGCTTAGAGGCCGACATAGGAGTGAGCTGAGCTGGGCCCTAAACAGAAAATTTGAGCTAGGAAATAGATAATATCCTAATTTCTCCACTTGGTGAATAATAGTGAATTTGAGAATAACAGTACTATGTACCGTGTATTTCGTTGGTATCTATACAGGGTGTAACATTAGTACGTTGAAATATTTGAGTGATGTATTCCTGAAACCTAGAGCCAAAAATGCTGGTGATTGAAATGAATGATAAGTCCAGTGCAGAACTCGTAAAAAACCCGCGGCATCGCTTCTGGCTCATGGAATTACGCCATGAAATTGATGATTTATTTGTGGTTGTACATTACAGGATTCTCTCTGATGCCAGAGCGCGAACTGTGAATGGTTATATGTTTACACAGTTTATCGATAGGAATCTCCGGAGCATGCAGACAAAATATCGTTCGTCGATAACTCGACAAGGAATTTGATAAATGAGTAATATGTTTGTGCTCACAACGAATTCCAATACCGGGTGGCCCCCAAGCCACATACTCGCCAGCCTAAAATTGAAAATGCATAGTTGATACGTAATGAATAATATTTTTTTTCTGCAACCGACACGAAAGTCGTCCATTTGGATACCAAAATTAGCTCTTGAATTGACGTTCCCATTACTGAGACAAAAATAGGTATGTTGCTAGGCAACATATTTAGTTCCTAGTATGGGACTGCTTAGAAACCCTAAATGCACTGGGCAGTCAGAACAGATTGACTCTAGCATGGGTACCAGCACATACAGGGTACGAGGGCAATGAAGAGGCAGACTCACTTGCCCGAGCAGGAGCAAACAAAGCTCGTAATGGCCCAGAACCCTTCTGTCGTATTGCGAAAGCTATACAAAAGACTAGTATCAAATCATGGATGCAAACCAAATCTCAAGAATGGTGGAACAACTCGCCAGGAATGAGACAGGCAAAAAAGTTTATTGAAAAACCATCGCCAACATTCACAGAATATCTACTAAGCCAGAAACGAAGTTCAACTAGAATACTAGTGGGACTTCTCACAGGGCATTGTAGGCTCAACAAACACATGAGTACGATAGGTCTGACTGAAGAACTGCTGTGCAGGTTCTGTCAAGAAGAGGAAGAAACAGCAGTACACATACTTTGCCACTGTGACGGCTTGTCAAGACTAAGGTTCCTTACGCTGGGTGAGGAAAAACCAGGAGCCCAGAGATACATAGGAGATCTGAAAGCTAGCCTATGGAGTCTCATAGAGAAGGCGGGGCTAGCCGAAGAACTCTTATCGATTTTGAGGGCAGACACAATAGATCTGAAAAGGTCGCAGTGTGGAGGCAGATAGCCCGAAGGCCCCATTCCAAACCTAATCTAATCTAATCTAGTTCCTAGGAGCTGAAGTTGGACTTTAGTTCCTAGGAGCTAAAGTTGAACTTAGCTCCTAGGAACTAAAGAGGATGTACAAGACGTCAGAATAAGCAACATTGTTATGGTTGGTTATTTGAGTTGGGACGCATACCTGATTTGTTTCCGATTTCGGCAGATTTGGCATTTCATACCCATGCTGGAGATATAAATACACCTTATTATAGTTAAGTATAGGAATTATAAACATCTCAGTTGAGTATTTTTGTCTTGATCATGGAAGCATTCAAGAGTCACATACTTACTTGATCTGTATTTCATTCGTTATTCTCGGGATGGATAACTTGTTTTTGAATAATCACGGCAAGCAATAGTTTCTTATCTCAAACAAAGATATTGTTTACCTCTATTTGATTATCAAGTCAAACACAGTGTAGTATGGAGAGGAATGAATAATCGCTATTATCATTATTGATTTGTTTGTTTTTGTTTTGTTTTTTTGTTCTAAAATTTGTTCTATCCGTCATTCGGTTGCCCCCTTACGAGCAACCCTCAAAAGTCTTCGAAAGTCTTGTGCGAGCAAGGAATGACGGGGGCCTTACCTTTTAACGTGTGATCCCAAACACTTTCTTGGGCCATCAGAAAAATTTCTGCAGTCGACGGGGATCGAACCCACGACCGGCAAGCGAATGCGAATTAGAATATAGACACTCTGTCCGCACGGCTACCTGGCCACCGTGATATGCTCAATAACCCAACATTTTCCACGTCTTGTTCCTATACCTGGCACTGGCGCTGTATTTGCCATTAGAGCACCTGGTCCATACACAAATATGTCACTGTTTGGTTGTATTTATATCGAAACTACAATTCGAACACTCTTGAAAATTGAATGAAACTGCTGTTCATGCAGGTAGAATATTCTCACCACACGGATTTTTCATTGATTTTGATTTGTTGCATTGCATACATATACATATGGCACGGCATTGGTGTATACTTCACATACTTACTTGAGTTAATTGTTTCGGTTCCAGAAAAAATAGCATGTTTCATTCGGATCAAAAGGGACTTTGTTTGACTCGCAAATGTTGCTTTCGCTCAGCTTCGCTGAAGGCTCCGTGTCGCAAATGCAAAATTCGCTTGTCAAACAAAGTGTCACTTTTGATACTTATAAAACAATCTACTATTTCTGCAACCAACACAAAAGTCGTCCATTTTAATACCAAAGTTAGCTCTTGATTTGAAGTTTCTGTTACTGACACAACCATGGGTATTTTTGGGTATGTTGCTAGGCAACATTTTTAGTTGATGCTCCTAGGAACTAAAAAGGATGTACTAGAGGTCATCAAGAATAAACAACATTGTTACGGTTGGGTATTTGGATTGGGAACCATTTTCATGAACGAATGGGAGATTACCGGAGTTTGAATGCGGAATTTCCAGTTTGAAGTGATATAAAACTTCTATAAAAATACAAGTTTATGAGGAATTCAAAATGTTTCTTCTTCCATTTGTATCTATATGTATGGGTGCTCTAGACATTACATTATAATTTCAGGTAA